AACTTTTGATCATTTTGTCTAAGTTAACTTTTTAAAAATACTCATGAATGATATTCTTTTTTATATAGGCCAATCTTTTATTACTCAGTAGTATAAAATCTGACTTTCATGCTCCTTTTGGAGGCCCTAAAACATGCAGTAGTTAAAGACCAAATTCAGATTAGAAAACAAACAATGGAATTGACAGGTTGACCTGTTTATTATTCTTGCTAGACTTAGAGCTTAGCATGGAATACAATCTTCCAAAACTGTAACCTGTATAAGGTGAAAACCTATCAGGTAAGGAAAACATAAATCTTTTCCACTTACTTCAGGGAGAGAAAAAGGAAGAAAACTTGAGAGACCTGGACAAACAAGACATTCCCATTGAATTTTTACTCACTGGTTTCATGATATTTCATGGATCATGTATATACTTCAAATATATTCTCCAGTTTCCCAAATGTAGCTGATCCAATAAATCAGATCAGGCCTACACAAGAAACACAAATGTACAAGCTGTTTTGTGTTGCAGAATTTTCAAAGAGGATTAGCAACCCTAGTTAGCAACCAACTCTCTTGGACTGTTTGCTACTTTAATCCTTACAACCTTGGACTTAGGCATTTCTAACTGCTTAAAGAGATAAGGAAACCGAGATCCCTATAAATGGTTTAAAATCAATAAAGACACGTGTTAGGACTATCATCTTTCTCCATACCTATTCAGTCCGTATGCTGAGCCAATCATTGGAGAAGCTAGACTTTATGAAGAACATGACATACCGACTTGAGAAAGACTCATTAACAACCTGGGTTATACAGATGGCACAAACTTGTTTGCTAAAACCAAGGACTTGAAACATTTGTTGGAGACCAAGCACTATAGACTTCATTATTGCTTACATCTCAAGATCAAAAAACCCAAAAATCCTTACCACTGGACCAACTTCATGCTAAATGGAGAAAAGATTGCAAATGTCAATGATTTCATCTTGCTTAAATCGACAATCAACATCTTTGGTACCAAGTCACAAAATCAAGATGTGTGCCTGCTTTGCAGCACGTACACGAAAAAAAAAATAAAAAATTGGAAGGATACAGAGATTAGCATAGCCCCTGGATGACATGCAAATTCATGTAGTTTTCCTAAAATAAAATAAATCAAGATGTGTTGCATTGAGAAAATCTGGCATCAAGGGCCTCTCCAAAATGCTCAAGAGCAAAGATAATAGTTTAAAAGACTAAAGTGTGCTTGATGCAAGGCATGGTTATTTTTAATTACTTCCTATGAACCTAAAAGTTGGACTATGAGTTAGGATGACAGAATTGATGCCTTTGAGTTGTGCTTGTGGAGAGGAATACTGAATACCCTATGACTGCCTAAAAACAAGTAAGTCTGTTTTGGAACAAATACAAGTACTCCTCAGAGGCAAGGGTGGTAGAACTTTGTGTTACATACTTTGGGAATGTTGTTAGGAGGGGCTGGTCTTTGGAAAAAGACATCATCCTTGGGTAATTAGAGGGTCAGTGGAAGAGGGGGAAAACTCAAACAGCAATTGTAGCAATGGGATAAGACTTTCCACTGAGCAAAGGACAGCACAGGCCAAGGGAGGGCTCACATCTACAGTGGCCAACTTGACTGCACTGAACAGCAATGACCTCCCAGGGAGCAAGGTTCTGAGGTGGCAGAGGCAGGACAGGACAGCGTCATCCTACTGATCTTTAACCGTAAGGTGTGCTGTCAAGTCACGGAAGACCTGTGCAGAAGCATTACATATTTTAGTTAGTAGTTAGCCTTCAATATGGATTGAGGCTCAATGTCAAGAAGACAAAGATTCTCACCACTGAGTCTGCTTGGCTCCACACTCTTAACACCAGCAGCCAGGAAATTAAAAGATGCATTGCAATGGGAAAGTGGGCTGTTAGGGACCTCTGTAAAGTACTGAAGAGCGATGGTGTCTCTCTGGAGACTAAGGTGCGTCTGATACAGGCCATGGTCTTTGCAATCACTTGTTATGCATCAGAAAGTTGGACAATGACTAAGGAGGATAGAAGGAGAATTGATGCCTTTGAGCTTTGGTGTTGGAGTATTGAGGGTACTATGGACTGCTAAGAAAAGATTCATCCTGGAGAGGGTTAAAGCTGGCTGCTCCTTGGAGGCAAGGATTCTGAGGCTTCGCCTGACATACTTTGGACATGTTTTAAGGAGGGACTGGTCCTTGGAGAGGGACATCATGCTTGGGAGGGTGGAGGGCATGCGCAGGAGGGGAGACCCTCTAGGACGTGGATTGATTCAGTAACTGGGGTTATTGGGATGGGTGTGTTGGAGACAGTGAGATTGGCACAGGACAGAGCAAAGTTTAGGGCTGTTGTACACAGGGTTGCTATGAATCGCAAGCGACTCGACGGCACATTAACAACAACAGTTTGAGAATGGAAAAGGGAATTAAAAGGGCGTATTTCAACCATCTCATTTGATCCAGGTGTTTTCCATGAGGCGGGCAGTACTACCATCAAGGGGTGTTGGGTTTTTTTAGTGTGTTCCATAGTCTTTCATTTACATTTCGCTGTGTGATCTGTTGTTGTTATGTGCCATCAAGTCATTTGCGACTCATAGTGACCCTATGTACAAGGGCCCTAAACACCATTCTATCCTGTGCAACCTCGCTGTCTCAAACACATTCCCACCACTCCACTCACAGAATTGATCCATCTCATCGAGGGTCTTCCTCTCCTGCACCGTCCCTCCACTCTCCCAAACACGATGTCCCTCTCCAAGGACCAGTCCCTCCTTAAAACATGTCCAAAGTATGTCAGGCGAAGCCTCAGAATCCTTGCCTCCAAGGAGCAGCCAGCTTTAACCCTCCTTAAAACATGCCCAAAGTATGTCAGATGATGCTTCAGAGTCCTTGACTCCAGGGAACATTCTGGCTTCACCCTCTCCATGACAAACCTGTTTGTTCTCCTAGCAGTCCATGGTATATTCAACACTCTTCTCCTGCACCACAACTCAAAGGCAACAATTCTCTATCATCCCTATTCACTGTCCAACTCTCCGATGCATAGCATGTAATTGCAAAGACTATAGCCCGGATCAGGCACACCTTAGTCTCCAGCCTGACGTCGTTGCTCTTCAGTTCTCTTGAGAGGTCCCTCACAGCTTTCCCAATGCAATTCATCTCTTGATTTTCTGGCTGCTGGTACCAAGCATGTTGACTGTGAAGCCAAGGAAACTAAAACTGTTAACTATCTCAATCTCTTCACCATCGAGCCAAGGAAACTAAAACTGTTAACTATCTCAATCTCTTCACTATCCATACTGATGCTGCCAATTGGTCCAGTGGTGAGAATCTTTGTTTTCTTGATATTGAGCTTCAATCGATATTGAAGACTGCAGTCCTTGACCTTGTAAACTAAAAAAAAAAAAAAAGCGTATGATGTCAAGTCAGAAACCACACCTATGGGTTGACTTTCCAGTAGGTTTACAAACGCAATTAATCACATGGGAGACTGCCCATCCTTCTCCCATAGAGGAGCTAGTGGATTCAAAAGGTTTTGCTATGGAAAAACTAGAAGCTGGGCTATAATTTATTCAGAGGCTTGCAGCTCCCTTGACAGCGCTGGGATGTGAGAGCTGCTTCTCCTGCTGAGCAGTTACGACTGAAAACACAAAGGCTCAACTGACATCCCTTATCAAACTTCAGTGCAGCGCCACCTCAACTCAAATGTTGAGTCAGAATTCTCTCACAGGTCATAGTTAGCTGTCAGTGGCTTTCAGAAGATGTAAATCACATGGAAGATTGCTCATCTTTCAGGCATAAAGCAGCCTGTGGATGTGATCACTTGCCTTTGGGTAGGTTGTACAACTCCTTACCAATTAGGCCATAAGCACTCAAGTGAATAATAATGGACAGCCGGTTCCAATGGAAGGTCAATGGCGTGAATGCACTCAGACGTAGTTTTATATTCTGCAGTTTGTTCCCCAGCACTTAAAAAAAATAAATTTTGTATTCATCTATTATCAACATTTAGAAATTCCAGTGTAAAAAGCAATCAATATATAGTAAAATGATCAGACATTTCAATGATTTGGTCTATGAATGATCAATTGAAAAACCAGTGTGACTTGTAAATTTTCAAATCACAAACACAAAAAACCCCCTCCAATGCATCATGTAAATCCTAAATTACCGTAGAATTACTAAAGATTCAGTTTAATTTTCTTGAGGATTGCTATTAGGTGTCCCCAAGGATTAGATTAAGCTATATTGTCTTTGACAAAGGATGACTGATAAGAGTACCAAATATCCCACAGACTGTCAACAGAACAGATGTCTTGGAGAAGTGTCCCTTGGAAGGAAAGAGAAAACTGTCATAAGGACAGGTTATTATTTCAAATGTCTTGAAAAATTAGCTGAAGCAAAAGCTGGGGTCAAAGATTCAGATATCCATGAGGGTTGAGCAAGACTGCATGTGACCACCACCCTGCAAAAACAGGCTGGTACAGCATGAATTTGGATTTCTCTCTAGACTCTCCCTGGTGTTTTGTTGTGTTTTTTTTTTTAAAAAAAAACCCACCCAAGTAACAGATCTTTGTGAAGCATGTCTGGCCCACAGGCTGTTAGCCTTCTGAGTTAGTCCCAAAAGAGGTGGGAATTTCAGTCACTGGCAAACTGACATTGTGGATGGCAACTTGGTTTGTTTGGAATGAGACAGAGGAAGCTGAAGAAACCAGAAGTAGCCAGAGTAATGTAAGATCTAAGACTCGAGTACAGAGAATAGACTCGGCCTTGAGCCAGTCTGTCCACTTCATGAAGTACTCCTAAGTGTGGTGAATACCTGCACAAAAAACCTTAATTTTTTTTATAAAACAATGCAAACACTATCTGCAACTGGGAAAACATTTTCAATTTTTATTCTTAAAAATAGGAATCAAAACTGCAAAGGCAGATTTATAATCACTTCTGAATGAGAGGGTCATTTTGGAACATCACAAGAACGCATACTCAGATGGAAATCTAGTTAAACTGCAGTTGCTCCTCAGGTTGCATTCACTCCTGCATTTTCTCAATTAGTTCTTCCTTGTATTTGCCTTTCTCTTTTCCAACTTGCCGAGACTTAGCTTTACGTTCAAGAATTTTTTTCCGATCTTTATCCAATTTCAGCCTGGTAATAACCACCTGTCAGGAGTGAAAAACATTTATCTTTAACATTTTCCCCCAAGTGGAAAGGATTTAAGATTCCAACCACCCTTTCTCTGTAGTAGAGATTCTCTCCACAGAGATGTCACTGCTTTAAAAATGATCTGCATTCTCACCAGCACTGGGCAATATATAGATACTATGAGTTAAGTAAAACTCCAACCATTTGTCCTTTAAGGATCTGAGATTCTAGGAGATAAAAACCTTATTATATAATACATCAAATGGGAGTGCAAAGGAAGATAACAGTCTACTAAGCTGGTGTGAGAACTACAGAACAAAGTGTCTTCCCTTTTCCCTCCCAATTATTATCTCGAATGCCTGAAGCCCTCTTTGTCTGGCCTGAAGGAGTCAACATCAAGGATGACAACTGACAAAATCGAAGGAGCTTTCTTATCATCAGCCACCTAGATACACAATGGTACCAATTAATTAACTAAAATTAATGCTAAGCTACGCTGTTGTTGCTGCTACTCAGGACTGGACCATACCTTGCTTGGGTGAATGCCCACATGCACTGTGGTACCATTAGCCTTCTCACGCTGCACTCTTTCGATGTAGATGACATACTTCTTTCTGTACACCTGGACTACCTTGCCAATCTGCTGACCTTTGTAATGTCCTCGCACCACCTAGGAGAAACCACAACAGAGAATTTTGCTCTAATTTCAAAAGCTTGAAATGTTATCATGAGGAAGTGAATTATCAGGTACAAGTAGGACATAACACTACAATGGTGTAATTCTGTTTTGTGTAACTCGAGGCCAAATAGTAACTCTTCACCTGAATATTTTCTTTTTTTAAGAGAACATAATATTCCCTTGGATAAGATAGTCATAACAAAAACTAGTCACAAGAGTCAAAATGAAACAAAGAAAACCTTAAATATCCAAACAGAGAAGGATAACAAAAGATACTGAGAGAGTCTCATGTAATCATTTAAAAAGCTATTATGAATACCTAGTATTTTTTTATTTAAAAATTGGTGGAATATTCACAGGTTGATGAGCATTATCTCTAAAAAGTAATATACTGTTTTTCAAATGTTCTATATTATACAAGTTGTATATAATTTGAAAAAGCAAACATATGAAAACACCTGCTAGGGAAGAGGTGGGTAAAACTGAAATACTTGATGAGAAAGAGGGAAAAGGCAAGGACGACATCCAGTGTTCTGGGCATCTCCATGCAATAGTTTTGTTTGGAGAATGGTAAATTTCAGGCGTCTGTGAGACACTGTAATAAGAGAATTATACATACAGCTGGAAGGCAGACTAACTAGACCTGCCATGGGAGTTAAGAATTATTCAGAAATAACAATTCTGATCTTAACAAGATCTGATCTTGGTCAGGAGTCTGGAGAAGATATGGGGGTGGGGGGTAATATATTTAAAAATTAGTAACGAATATAAGAGAAGATAATTCTAAAGAGCTTGGAAGGGCGGATGACAGATCAAAGAGCTGTTGGAAGGAGATGTGAACTTAAGAAGAAATGATTTAAAGAAAACTATAAGCATAGTTGAACACTGATGAGAAACTGGGATAATGGACGGACGGGTTTCTAAGAAGCAAGGAGAGCACAAAAGATCGAAATGCAGAGTGACAGAATACCATCAGACAGAAATAGGAATTCTCCTTTATCATAGGACAGCAAGACAAGTAGGGTGGTGGTAAGGTGGTGGATGTATAACCAGTAGTTCAGGGCGATGCTGGCTGATGACTTTAATTTCTTTTGTAAAGCTAAAATAGCCACCTACTCAGAAAAAGTTATGTAAGAGTCACAGATCCTAAGTAAGAATAAGTGGTTTTAAGAGATCCAGTTGGCAGGAAGCTGCACTGCAATCCCAGAAGTAGTGTGGTTCAATCTCCTCCTGTACCAGTCAGATCCAATTAGACTGGTACACAAAAAAATACCAATACCAATAATAATAAAGACATAGCCAGTTGGGTGTTACTTTATTCTCCTGGTGGAAAAGAGCTTGGTACCTGAGATTAATTTTTCTTTATAGCTAAAAAGACATACTCGTCATATCTGATGTACTCAAGCCCACTGTTATGGTCAGTGTTGATCTTGCTGAGGGTCTCCCCTCCTTCATGGACCCTACACTTTTCCAAGGAATAATGTTCCCTAACAATGTGCACAAAGTAAGTCAGACAAAGTTTCACCATCCTTGCCTCTAAGGAGCACTCTGGCTGCACCTTCTTACACCAATTTGTTCTTTTGGAAATCTATGGGATTCCAAGTACTCTTAAAACTAGTAGGATATAAGGGAGCTCTGGTGACCTAATGGCAAGAAACTGCATTGCAATCCTGAAGATGCGGCGTTCAAATCCACCAGACGCTTGCTGGAGAAGGATGGGCAGTCTCCTCCTGTGCCAGTCAGATCTGATTTGATGGCATACAACAAGGGGGGGGGGGGAGATTAACAGGACATGATCACTAATTGGAACAGACCTGTAGAACTCTTCCTCTGTTAAGAAATATGGCTTAAATAATAGGGATAATGGCTACATTGTATTACATTTTTTTAGAACATTTATCATTGTACATACTTTATTGATAGTATCAGAATATTATGAAAAGCTGTTTTTGATAAATACGAAAACTTAAGAGGAAATGGACAAATTAACTGGAACTCATGCCCTACCGAGGCTGGCATGGATAGATGCAGAACACTTGAGCAGACCCAACACAAAAGAAGAAAATGAGCACAGAGAAGACTCCCACACACAAAAAAAAGGAAGGAAAAAAAAAAAAAGCCATGGACCAGATGGCTTCACATCTGAATTCTACCACAGTAAGCTTATCAAGCATAATCTTTAAGAGTCTGATTTATGAATTCTATTACTGATAAAACAAAAGCACAAGTGGAAGCTAGAACTGGAGAGGCTATTATAATAACCAAGGAGAGGAGGAGCTTTAAGAACACTAGAAATTAGAAACTTGTACACAATGTACAAAATGAATTCTTGTTTGCGAAGCACAAAATCCCCCACACTACCGTCTTTTAAACCATTGAAAATGTTTCCAATGTTGCACATTTTTTTCACCCTTCCCTAGCCCTCTCCACAATGCACCCCTTGTTCCAGATTGTCATAAAAATAATCATATATTCCTTTTTGGACAGTTATTCCCTTTATCTGATCTACTGCAGTGTTTACTATCCATTCTCTCTTCAACTCCCCCATGCCTGTCCTATTTTATAACTGCGGTGTTATGCAGTATTTGTCCTTTTGTGACTGAGATATTTCACTCTGCATAATATCCTCTAGGCTCCCCCACACTGTGTAATGTTTTACCAGGGTATTGTTTTTCAATGCAGGGTAACATTCCATTATGTGAATGTACCACATTTTTTCTATCTATCCATTTGTTGATAGGCAAAGTGGTACCATTTGTGACAAAAATCTGGTGAAAAGAGATCAAGTTTGGTGCACTGGATTTTGATAAATGTGGGATGATGTCAGCCAAAAGAAGTTTTGGAGAAGTATTGGAACTAGAAACAACACTGGTGCATGCTTAAGAATTAAAGGTGAAAAGATGGAAGCAACTCTTCGGTGAGCTTGTGCCTCTAAATATCAAAGGATGTGAGTGTGGGAAACTAGAATTCCAATTTTCTAGTTCCTCTGCTTCCAATCTTTCCTTTTGAGTGTCAAACCCTCCCAATGGGTCAGAAATACACAGAACTTCTTGACTATGCATCATTCTCTATAGTAACAGTAATCACTAATGGTGGGGTGGATTTGCATGTCCCACCCCTTCTCCCCACAACACACACAAAAGGAGACAGTGTCACCTCACAATATGCACAAACATTTTTGTGAAGACTGGGAGAGAATGCTCTTGGCATCTAATAATGAGGCCAAAGATGTTGCAAATATCCTAAAATACTGAGGTGTGGGCAGCACATAACAAAGAATAATGTCAACAGCAAGAGGTCCAGAGCACAGATGCTGGGAAACCATCTTGTAAAAATGTGAGTTCCAAGGACAAGGACTGTGGGTCCTGTTCCATGCTAGTGTCTAGAGCACCTGCTAAGTACCCAGTAAACATGCATTCAAAAGATGTATCCTAGTCTTCGAATTCCTACACCTCCTCTCCCACAATCCTAAACTCCAGTCTGAGATGATTTATATTTTCCCATCTGGGCTATATGACTTTAATTCATTTTGCCCCTCTGAACTGTTGCTCCTTTTGTGTTTTCATAACCAAATCAAACACCATTACATAGCCATACTCCACAAATCTTTGCTCACCAACTCCTTAAATGCAAAATACCAAAACACTGCTCTCACTACAGCACCAATGCCTGCAAGCTCTGGTTCAAAGAGACATTTGGGCAAACTCGCAGACACGGATTGATGCCAAAAAGCAGTTTTTACTGGGTGGCATCCTTCCTCTCGGTTGACCCTGGTTGACCTCTGTCTACCACGTCACGTGTTTCAGTGTTGTAGCTTACTCCTAACTATGAGGGTTGGAAAGCAGGCACCCACAGCATCCTCGGGCAAAGATGGGGCCCGAGGGCCACGAGACTCAGTCAGTGAACAGCGGGGGACGTACCTGCACCTCGTCATCCTTGCGGATGGGCATGGAGCGCACGTTGTACTTCTGCCGCAGCTCTTTGGACAGAGGGGAGGACATGATCTTCCTGCGCACATGCGAAGGGGCATTGAAGTGGCGTTTTCGGTTCTTGCTGCGGTCCGAGGTAACGAAAGGGTTGAACTTCATGGTGGCTGCAGAGGGGCGAGAGAGAAAAGGGGCGTTCAGCGGGGTACACAGGTATTCCCTAAGCAGGGCATCCCCTCAAACCCGCGCGAGTGTGCATAGGGTAGCCTTAGGAGTAAGGGCGCAAAGAGGATAAGCGGAGTCAACCAACGTCAAACAAGGATGGGGGTGAGGAAGCGCGTGCCCGACGGGCGAAACGTGGGGGAAAGCCCGTAATGGAGGCTAAAGCCTAAAGAGCGAAGTCAAGGAAGGAACCGAGAGTCATACAGAGAGATTGCTGGGGAAACGTGTGGCTTGCAGCGCGCGGAGGAACGACCCTTTAAGGCAAGGAGGCTTTAGAAATCGAGAAAACACCAAGAGAAACTCACCAGGCGTCCGACAGCGTCAGGATCTTCAAGCACAAGGCCGGAAGTGAGGCTGTTTCCTCGCCTGCGCGCTCGCCTTGCCGGCGTCCAATTTCCGGCGGGACGAAATCGACTGGCGCCCCCTGCGGCTCGGAGTGGACGTTCAGCCCCTCGTTCTGCCGGGTGGTGGAGCACAAAGGCGAACCTGGCGGAGATCGCGCTGCTGGGGAGACGCAGAGTGCTTTCCCAGGGTTTGCAATAGAAAGTCATTAAAAGTAAATGAATAGGGAACTCTGGTGGCCCAATGGCAAGAAGCTGCGTTGCAATCCCGAAAGCGGGCGGTTCGAATCCACCAGATGCTCCACTGGAAAAGGAGGGGCAATCTCCTCTTGTGCCAGTTGGATCCTACCTGACGGTACACAAGAAATAATAATTAAAAAAATATAAACAGCAAAAGTAAACTAATAAATAAACTATTGTTGTTATTATTGAGACTATACTTAGGAGAACATTAAACTTCAACAAGTTGCACACACTCTTCGGTGAAATCGATGACATTCAAGTTACGCAACCATCTTCATCCTCACTTTTGAGTTGTTCCTTGCTCATTAACATAAACTGACTGCCCCCTAGATTTCCAATCTACTCTTTCCAGATACTGTTGTCAATTTGATAGCATATAAAAAGGTCTTTTAAACAGTGGAACAGTGGACATAATAGGTTAAGCTGAGCAATCCCCTGGTTATAGAAGACGTAAAGGAATGTTCTTATTCAACGGTTTAAAGATTATCTAAGGGCAATAGTGTCAAAGATTCATTTAATCTCCATGTTTCTAGATTCTGGAGTTCATGAAAATTTGAAATGATGTTCTACATTTCCCCGGTTTTGATCAGGATTAATAGAATCTTTGAATGAAACATTCAATATTGGTAGCTGGATGCTATCCAACTCAAGTCTCCTGGCAAAGGAGGGAGACAGTTGTTCATGGAAGTAAATAACCATATAGCCCATTTCTTCCTCCTCTTCCTGAGTCACATGAGCCCTGATGGGACAGTTACAGGTGCTCAATTGCTAATAAATAGTAAAGATTAACTCAGAACCTCAACTCATTGGCATAAAATTAAAATGGATTTATAGCTGACCCTTCAGGGGGTAAAAGCAGTAAATTGTGTGGTAGGAGATTGCCCATCTTTCTCCCCCGGGACAGTGGGTGGATTTGAACCACCAGAGAAGAGCCCCCTTTGGGTTAGCAGTGCCACTTCCTATGGACAACACCACGAGGAATTTGAATCAAAGGCAAGGTTTTGTTTCATTTTTATTACTAATTCTTCTTCTTCTATTGTTCCAAACAAATGGAGATCACAAAATAGGTGACAGAACAGAAGCACTAAACCTGTTATTAGACCAGTCAACCATGAAACCAGAACTCTACATCTTCAGACCAAGGAACCAAATCCCAGGACATGCTTGCTTATGCATAAGCAGTCCCAGCAAGTGCCCTTTCTGTTGTTGTTGTAAATATATAACACAACTCTTTCCAATTCGGCCTTTTACAGGCATACAATTTATTGACATCAATTACATTAATCAGAGGGAACTCTGGTGGCCTAGTGAGTGGAAGTTGTGCTGTCAATCCAAATGTAAGGGGTTCAAATCCATCAGCTGCTCCTTGAGACAAAAATAGGCAATCTTGTTCTGTGTAACTCACAGTTTAAAAACCTGCTGGGTCATCTGTGAGTTGGTTTCAACTTGACAGCACATAAGAAGGATACATTTATAGGTGTGCATTCTCAAACTTAATCAATGGGATTTCCCCATTTCTAAAGAGAAATTTAGGCTCTTTCAACAATAATTACCTCCTCCCTTATTGCCCTCCTCTAGTTTCCAGAGTACTGAAGAGCAATGACGTCAGGCTGGAGATTAAGATGCACCTGATCTAGGCCATAGTCTTTGCAATTATGTGCTACACATCAGAAAGCTGGACAGTGACTAGGGATGACAGAAAGAGAATTGATGCATTTAAGCTGTGGTGCTGGAGAAGAGTGTTGACTATACCATGGACTGTTAGGAGAACAAACAGGTTTGTCCTGGAGAGGGTGAAGCCAGGCTGCTCCTTGAAGGCAAGGATTCTGAAGCTTCGTCTGACATACTTTGGGCATGTTGCAGTCCTTGGAGAGGGACATCATGTTTGGGAGGGTGGAGAGAGAGTGCAAGAGAGGAAGACCCTCAATGAGATGTAGCGGTTCTGTGATTGGGGTAAAGGAATAGGTGTGTCTGAGACAGTGAGGTTGGCACAGGATAGAGCAGGGGAGGGCTCTTGTACATAGGGTTGCTATGAGTCACAGTGACTAGACAGTACATAACAACAAACAACAAGTCCTAGTAATCAATAATATTTTTTTATCTTTATCTATTTGCCTATACTTATCTTTTTATGTAAGAGAAGTCATTCAAAAGTTGTCTTTTTTTGTGACAGATTTATTTCACTCAGCATAATGTCTTCAAGTTCTGTCCATGTTGGAACATGTATCACGACTTCATTTCTCTTTCTGGCTTAGTATTATTCCATTGTATGTACATATGTACTGCATTTTGCTTATCCATTCATCCATTGATGGACAATAGAAGTTCACAGATGTTCATTTAATGGTACCCCACCAATGGTCTCTCCTTTACCCCAGCCTCCTTCTTTGCTCCAATGACCATCCAGAGAGATGAAATAGAGGCATGTTGGTGTGCTTTCATGAAACATCATTTGGCTCTAAGTGCCATCTTCAGGTAGACTTCTCAAAGCATCCTTTCAAAATGTAGACTTCCCCCCACCCCCAAGCTCTATCACAGTCCTACAGAATAAGATAAATTGGAAGAAATCCAAATTGCAAGAAGCATCCTTAAAAAAAGATTCTGAGGCACTCCTGTGTTTGGAGATCCTTCCTAATCAATCACCTGATTTTGCAAAGTTCCCTCTCTCCCCATTATTGGCAGACCTGAACTGTAGAGGTGGATCTTAGGGCAGGTAAGACATTGTGCCCAGGGAACCACTTGAAGGGGTCACTAGCATGTAGTTTCTGTTAACTACCACAGCTCCCATGGTCAGCTGGGAGAGATCATTGAGCAAGTTAAAACGATACATTCGAACAATCTCCTCCTGTATCAGTCAGATCTGATTTGATGGTACACACAAAAATTAATGAAATAAAATAAATTTAAAACAATAAAACGAATACATTCATATGTGAAAGCCTCTGTGGGTCTGGACAGACTATGTGATCTTGCTCTGCTGAGGACAGAGAAGAAACAGAAAAAATATAAACGAGTATGTCCAAATCTCATCAGTGAAAGCAAGGAAGGTGTACTGGAATGATGGCGCAGGATAGAACAGGGTTCAGATCTTTTGTTCATTTGGTCGCTATGAGTGCTATGAGTCGTACTTAACCACACCAACCACACCTAACCAACCACAACCACCACCACCACCACCATAATGTGTTAAGTAAAAGATTAAGGAACTTAATCTGTCTCTTTAAATTGATATTGTAGTAATCTAAAAGATGAATGCCAGATGTCTAGATAGTGCCACAGATTTCAGTGCTTGCCATGGACACGCCTCTTCACATTGCTGGACCCAAGTGCTGGACCATTGTTTCTGAGTCTCAGTTTCCTCATTTATAAAAAGGGAATGACCTCAGAAGGCTGTCAGGAGGATTTAATGAGTTAATCTAGTTGGTGCTTAGTCTGTAGTGTGTGTAGAACAGTGGGCAGCACACAGTGTTCAATTTCCACCAGGCTTTATTCTGCACAGAAGCAGAGGCGTGGGAGTAGGTGTGCTCTGGGAGCCCCCAGGCTGGGGCACACCTTCACAAAGGTCCTCACAGTCACACTCTGGCTGTGACGCAAATTGAAAGCCTTCTGTGTGTTTGATATAAACACATGCTGTGTGCCTGCTTGGCTGGAGTTCCCTTTGTACTCGACTTTTTTTTAAGTGCTGCATGAGTCTTCCAGAACGCCTGAGTGTGCCAGGCCCTCCAGGCAGGGATAACTCCAAGCCCAGGGCCTCCTTGAGCCGGCAGGACAGGAACTCTGCTTCAGTTCTCAGAGTGAAACTGCCTGGAGGGGCGGAGGCAGGCTGCTCGGTCAGAAATGTCACAGGTTCCAGCTCCTTGTGGCATTAGTGACGTGGGAAGCTGCTCACTGGGCACTTCAGCTGACTGTGGCAGATTTGAAAGGAAGAGGCTCTGATCCTGGCTGGGGACTCAGAGAAGCTTAATCCATGCAGAACTACAGTCATTAGCTCTCCCATATCCACCCTTTACATATCTATTGAGTGCTGTGTGCCAGATGCTGGATAGTAGGATTTGTGATTGTTGCTGCTGTATGTCCTTGAATTGCTTGTGACTTACATAGTGACCCCATGTACAACAGTTCTGACCCTGCTCCATCTTGAGCCAATTTCATTGTCTCTGACACACCGACCCCCATTAGCACAGTCACTGAATCAATCAATCTCACCCAGGGTCTTCCCCTCCTGCGCTGTCCCTCTACCCTTCCAAGCATGATGTCCTTCTCCAAGGACTGGTCCCTCCTGGCCACATGTCCAAAGTATGTGAGATGGAGCTTCAAAATCCTTGCTTCCAAAGAGCAGCCTTGTTTTGATGTAGATTTA